ATTGCGACATTGTACTCCAGTCTGGGCAAGGAGACCAAAACTCCATCTCAAAAAAAAAGCTATGTGCAGTGGCTTACGCCTGTAATCCCAGCACTTTAGGAGGCCCAGACAGGTGGATCATGAGGTCAAGAGATTGAAACCATCCTGGCTAACATGGTGAAATCCCATCTCTACAAAAAATACAGAAAATTAGTTGGGCATGGTGGTGTGGGCCTGTAGTCTCAGCTACTTGGGAGGCTGAGGCAGGAGAATTGTTTGAAGCCAGGAGGTGGAGGCTGCAGTGAGCTGAGGTTGCACCACTGCACTCCAGCCTGGGTGACAGAGCAAGACTCCATCTCAAAAAAAATAATAGTAATAATAAAATAAAAATAAAGTATTAAAGAAGCAGCAGCAATGGGAATAAATGAAGGGTACAGTGAGATGTGTTAAGAAAATACGGCCAGGCGCAGTGGTTTATGCCTGTAATCCCAGCACTTTGGGAGGCCAACGCAGGTGGATCACATGAGGTCAGGAGTTACAGAACAGCCTGGCCAACATGGTAAAACCCTATCTCTATTAAAAATACAAAAATTCGCCAGGCAGAGTAGTAGGCGCCTATAATCCCAGCTACTCAGGAGGCTGAGGCAGGAGAATTGCTTGAACCAGGGAGCGGAGCCGACATCGTGCCACTGCACTCCAGCCTGGGCGACAGAGAGAGACTCTGACTCAAAAAAGAAGAAGAAAGAAAGAAAGAAGAAAGAAGAAAGAAGAAAGAAGAAGGAAGAAGGAGGAGAAGGAGGAGAAGGAGGAGAAGGAGGAGAAGGAGGAGAAGGAGGAGAAGGAGAAGGAGAAGAAGAAGAAGAAAAGAAGAAGAGGAGGAAGAAAGAGGAGGAGGAGGAGGAAGAGGAAGAAGAGGAAGAAGAAGAAGAAAGAAGAGGAAGAAGAGGAAGAGGAAGAAGAAGAAGAAGAAAGAGGAAGAGGAGGAGGAGGAAGAGGAAGAGGAGGAAGAAGAAGAAGAGGAAGAAGAGGAAGAGGAAGAGGAATAGGAAGAAGAGGAAGAAGAAGAAGAAAGAAGAAGAAAAGAAGAAGAAGAAGAGAAGAAGAAGAAGAAGAAAGAAGAAGAAAGAAGAAGAAGAAAGAAGAAGAAAAGAAGAAGAAGAAAAAGAAGAAGAAAGAAGAAGAAGAAGAAGAAGAAGAAGAAGAAGAAGAAGAAAGAAGGAAGAAGGAAGAAGGAAGAAGGAAGAAGGAAGAAGGAAGAAGGAAGAAGGAAGAAGGAAGAAGGAAGAAGGAAGAAGAAAGAAGAAAGAAGAAGAAAGAATTATGAGGGTTAGGAAGAATTTGAGTAAAGTCCTGAGGAAGGATAACATGGAGTAGGTTTAGATAACAAAATGGACAATGATTCCATCAATTAATATAAGCCAAGTGCAGTAGCTCATGCCTGTAATCCTAACACTTTGGGAGGTAGAGATGGGTGGATAACAAGGTCAGGAGTTGGCAACTAGCTTGGCCAACATGGTGAAAACCCGTCTCTACCAAAAATACAAAAATTAGGGGGGCATGGTGGTGCACACCTGTAATTGCAGCTACCCGGGAGGCTAAGGCAGAACTGCTTGAACCAGGACCCAGGAGGTAGAGGTTGCAGTGAGCTAAAATCATGCCACTGCAATCCAGCCTGGCCTACTGATCGAAACTCCATCTCAATAAAAATAAAAATAGGCCGGGCGTGGTTGCTCATGCCTATAATCCCAGCACTTTGGGAGGCCGAGGCGGGTGGCTCATGAGGTCAAGAGATCAAGACCATCCTGGTCAACATGGTGAAACCCTGTCTCTACTAAAAATACAAAAATTAGCTGGGCATGGTGGTGCGCGCCTGTAGTCCCAGCTACTCAGGAGGCTGAGGCAGGAGAATTGCCTGAACCCAGGAGGCGGAGGTTGTGGTGAGCCGAGATCGAGCCATTGTACTCCAGCCTGGGTAACAAGAGTGGAACTCCGTCTCAAAAATAAATAAATAAATAAATAAAAATAAAAATAAAATAAAAGAGGGCCTCAGCGGATGGATCACCTGAAGTCAGGAGTTTGAAACCAGCCTGACCAACATGGAGAAACCACATCTCTACTAAAAATACAAAATTAGACAGGCATGTTGGCACATGCCTGTATTCCAGCTACTCAGGAGGCTGAGGCAGGAGAATCACTTGAACCCGGGAGGTTGAGGTTGTGATGAGCCAAGATTGAGCCATTGCACTCCAGCCTGGGCAACAAGAAGGAAACCCTGTCTCCAAAAAAAAAAAAAAAAAAAAGGCCAGGCACAGTGGCTCACACCTGTAATCCCAGCACTTTGGAAGTCTGAGGCGGGTGGATTACCTGAGGTCAGGAGTTCGAAACCAGCCTGACCACCCCGTCTCTACTAAAAATACAAAATTAGCTGGGCATGGTGGCGCATGCCTGTAATCCCAGCTACTCAGGAGGCTGAGGCAGGAGAATGTCTTCAATCTGGGAGGCAGAGATTGTGGTGAGCCGAGATCACACCATTGCACTCCAGCCTGGGCAACAAGAACGAAACTCCATTTCAAAAAACAAAAACAAAAACAAAAAGAGTGGCCTGAGGCCGGGCGCGGTGGCTCAAGCCTGTAATCCCAGCACTTTGGGAGGCCGAGGCGGGTGGATCACGAGGTCAAGAGATCGAGACCATCCTGGTCAACATGGTGAAACCCCGTCTCTACTAAAAATACAAAAAATTAGCTGGGCATGGTGGCACGTGCCTGTAATCCCAGCTACTCAGGAGGCTGAGGCAGGAGAATTGCCTGAACCCAGGAGGCGGAGGTTGCGGTGAGCCGAGATCGCGCCATTGCACTCCAGCCTGGCTGACAAGAGGAAACTCCGTCTCAAAAAAAAAAAAAAGAGTGGCCTGAGTGGTAGAAGCAGAACCTCGAGAAAGTTGCATCACAAGTCCAGGTGCAGTGGTTCACGCCTGTAATCCAGTACTCTGTGAGGCAAAGGCAGGTGGGTGTTCACTTGAGGTCAGGAGTTTGAGACCAGCTTGGTAAACATGGCAAAACCGTCTCTACTAAAAATACAAAAAATTAGCCAGGTGTGGTGGTACATGCCTGTAATCCCAGATACTTGGGTGGCTGAGTCAGAATTGCTTGAACCAGGGAGGTACAGGTTACAGTGAGCCAGGATTGCACCACTGCACTTTAGCCTGGGAGACAGCAAAACTGTCTCAAAAAACAACAAGAAAATAGGAAAGTTGCATCACCTAAAGCAAAGGAATCAAGAAAAGGAAGCAAACAGGGCCAGATGATACGGGAAAGTCAAATAAGGTAAGAACTGAGAGGAAACGATGGATATGGCAGTAATTAGTGAACTTGGCATGGGAAACGATTCTTGTCCTGTGATCAGGGCTAAGGAATAAATGGAAGATGAAAGACTACAACCGTGACTGTGGCCTATACTTTCATAAGCATGGCTCTGGCTGGGCACAGTGGCTCACATCTGTAATCTCAAAAATTTGGGAGTCCTAGGCAGGAGGATCACTTCAAGTGAGGAGTTCAAGACCATCCTCAGCTACATAAGGAGACCCCCACCCCATCTCTACAAAAGGAAGGAAGGGAGGGAGAGAGGGAGGGAGGGAGGGAGAAAGGAAGGGAGGGAGGGAGGAAGGAAGGGAGGGAGGGAGGGAGGGAAGGAGGGAAGGAAGGAAAGGAGAAAGAAAGAAAGAAGGAAAGAAAGAAAGAAAAAAAGAGCGAGCGAGCAAGCCAGGTATGGTGTTGGGCACCTATAGTCGCTGCATTTTTGCAGTCCAGGCTGGAATGCAGTGATGCAACCTCGGCTCACTGCAACTTCTGCCTCTCTGGTTCAAGAGATTCTCCTGCGTCAGCCTCTGAGTTGTTGGGATTATAGGCGCCTGCCATCAGGCCCAGATAATTTTTGTATTTTTAGTAGAGACGGGATTTTACCATGTTGACCAGGTTGGTCTCGAACTCCTGACCTCCAGTGATCCACTCACCTTAGCCTCCCAAAGTGCTGAGATTACAGGCATGAGCCACCACACCCAGCACATTTCCTCTCACTGTAGCATTGTTTAGGGAGCCACTTTTCCTCCATTCTCAATCACATGATTTGGGTGTGATTGACTCTAAATCCATCCTTAAGGGTTGTGTGTGTGTGTGTGTGTGTGTGTGGTTTTTTTTTTTTTTTTTTTTTTTTGAGATGGAGTTTCGTTCTTGTTACCCAGGCTGGCGTGCAATGGCGCGGTCTCGGCTCACCACAACCTCCGCCTCCTGGGTTCAAGCAATTCTCCTGCCTCAGCCTCCTGAGTAGCTGGGATTACAGGCACGCGCCACCATGCCCAGCTAATTTTTTGTATTTTTAGTAGAGACGGGGTTTCACCATGTTGACCAGGTTGGTCTCGATCTCTTGACCTTGTGATCCACCCGCCTCGGCCTCCCAAAGTGCTGGGATTACAGGCTTGAGCCACCGCGCCCGGCATTTTTTTTTTTTTTAAACTAACTTATACATCTTTATTTCTGGATGGTAGGGGCTTTTACAGACACTGGTTCCTGTCTCTCATTACATAAAGTTCTGAAAGAAATAGTGGTATTCTTTCAAATGACAGTTTGAGTCTGCTGAGACTAAGTTTTACAGCAGCAGAAAGACTGTGGCATCACAGACAGGAAACAATTACAGCAAATGATTATTGGTTATTAAGAAGAAACATGAATAGGCTGAGCCTGGTGGCTCATACTTGTAATCCTAGCACTTTGGAAAACTGAGGTAGGTGGATCACCTGAGGTCAGGAGTTTGAGACCAGCCTCGGCAACATGGTGAAAACCTTGTCTCTACTAAAAATACAAAATTAGCTGAGCATTGTGGCAGGTGCCCGTAATCCAAGCTACATGGGAGGCTGAGACAGGAGAATCACTTGAATCTGGGAGGCGGAAGCTGCAGTGAGCTGAGACCATGCCACTGCACTCCAGCCTGTGTGACAAGAGCGAAACTCTGGGGGTTCAGCTACCATCTCAAGTCTTTTCACATTCTAAGGCTCTTTTCCTTGCTCGACAGGTAATCATGTCTTGCTTAGAGGCAGCAATACTCAGGAAGACCAGGTTTCTGTAGTTCTGTAACATCACATCCGTATATAAATTCTGCTGTGCAGTGTCCAGGCATTGCCACTCCTCTAGAGAGAATTCTACGGCCACATCTTTAAATGTCAACACTCCCATTTCTAGGCTTCCAGGGAGCCCTGGCATCTTAGTTGTGGATCTCCAGTACCAGCAGGTCACTGGGCCACAGAGATTGGGCCTCTAGGAGCAGAGGACACAAAACAGCGAAGACGAAATCCGGAGTTCCAGCTGCAGCAAGAAACAAACCTGCCTCCGTATCCAGTTAGCCCTGCTAATTGGTTTTATCCAGTCAGCATATCTCACCTCCCTGGCCCTAGGGATTAGTTCAGAAATTTGCCTTTGTTTGTTTGTTTGTTTGTTTGTTTGTTTTGAGACAAAGTCTCACTCTGTCACCCAGGCTGGAGTGAAGTGGTGCCATCTTGGCTCACTGCAACCTCTGCTTTCCAGGTTCAAGCAATTCTCCTGTATTAGCCTCCGAAGTAGCTGGGATTACAGATGCTCACCAACATGCCTGGCTAATTTTTGTATTTTTGGTAGAGATGGGGTTTCACCATGCTGGCCAGGCTAGTCTCTAACTCCTGACCTCAAGTGATCCGCCTGCCTCAGCCTCCCAAAGTGCTGGGATCACAGGTGATCACGCCACTGTGCCTGGCCTCACTGGATGATCTGGGACGTGAAATGAAATGTTTTGGCCAGGATTGATAAATGTTCACTTCTCCTCATAATATATTGGCCAGAGCTCGTCAGGTGACTTCCTAATGGCAAAGAGGCAGACAGGTATTATCCTTCAATATGCCCAGAGGTACAGACTAAGTGGATGTGGATGAGGGCTAGATAATGCCACCACATATGTATATACTAGGTCATAGCAAATTACATTTCTTGTTATGGGTCACAGCAAAAAATAGTTGAGAAACTACTATCCTGCTTCCCTCTCCTACTCTCACCTCATCCTTTAATCCAAATTAGTGCATAGAGCTTACCAGACCTGCATTCAGAGGCTAGTTCTCATACTCGCTTATATCTGTGAACTTGGTTGCGTCACCTAACCTCTCTGAGTTATATTCCCTTCAGTGAAAAAGGAGGGAAATATCATCTGTCTTACAAGATTGTGGTAAGTCTTAAGAGACATGGTGTGGTGGCTCATGCCTGTAATCCCAGCACTTTGGGAGGCCGAGGCAGGCAGATTATGTGATCAGGAGATTGAAACCAACCTGGCCAACATGGTGAAACCCCGTCTCTACTAAAATACAAAAAAATTAGCCAGGCGTGGTGGCACGTGCCTGTAGTCTAAGCTACTTAGGAGGTTAAGGAAGGGGAATCACTTGAAACCAGGAGGTGGAGGTTGCAGTGAGCCTAGATCACACCACTGCACTCCAGCCTGGTGACAGAGTGAGACTCCATCTCAAAAAAAAAAAAAAAAAAAAAAAAAAAAAAGACACGGTATGATAAATGCATGGCCCTGGACTTGACTATCTTGTTTAGACAGTAGAAATCATCACTATTCTGACAAGTGGAAGTCTTCCATTTCTACAGGCACACGGTCTGTTTCATAACTCCCTGCCTTTGTGTTATGCTACATGCTCCCTCACCTGAAGTGCCCTTCTCCCTCTGATCTGTCTGTTAAATGCCCTATCCTTCAATGCTCAGGTTCATGGTCTTCCTCTAGGAATTATTCCCTAACTCAGATGAGCAGACATGTACAGTGTAATGAATGAGCATGTATCTTGGATTTAGCAGACAGACATGGTTTGAATTCCAGCTCTGCCACTTCAACAGCTCTGACAAGCATGTGATTAGCATGTTACTTAACATGTTTTCTTACCTGAGAAATAGGTGTAGTATGAGTACCTACATCACAAAATTGTTCTGAGAATTAAAAGAGAAAATGCCTGAGACTTGTTAAACTCTATGTCTAGCCCATAAGTGCTCATTACACCCTTCTTTGGGCCAGTCTTTTACCTAGTGCCTCCCTCTACTATAGTTTCTCTCTAACTGTATTTCAGTTATTTGTTTGATGACATGCCTTGTACTGGACTGTGTACTTGTTGAGCAACTCTGTCCTAGCATTCAGCAATAATAGCTAGCTTTTTTGTACATTTACCAAAAATTTCCAAGAATTAGGCAAACATTTTAAATATATATATTATCTCATTTAATACTGATTGGAAATGACATTAGGATCATGTTTAACACAAACTCAGTGGCTTAAAAAAAAAAAAAAAGCTGGGCACAGTGGCTTATGCCTGTAATCCCAGCACTTTGGGAGGCCAAGGTGGGTGGATCAGCTGAAGTCAGGTGTTCGAGACCTGTCTGGCCAACATGGTGAAAACCTGTCTCTACTAAAACTACAAAATTTATCCGGACATTGTGGTGGGTGTCTGTAATTCCAGCTTCTCAGAAGGTTAAGGCAGGAGAATTGCTTTAACTCAGAGGTGGAGGAGGCAGTGAACCGAGATTGTGCCATTGCACACTAGCCTTGGCAGCAGAGTTAGACTCTGTCTCAAAACAAACAAACAAACAAAAAAGTATCCTGGCTGGGTGCAGTGACTCATACCTGTAATACCAGCATTTTGGGAGGCCAAGGTGGGCACATTACTTGAGATCAGGAGTTTGAGACCAGGCTGGCCAATATGGAGAAACACTGTCTTTATTGAAACTACAAAACTTAGCCAGGCATGGTGGTGGCGTGCATCTGTAGTTCCAGCTACTCAGGAGGCTGAGGCAGGATGATTGCTTGAGCCTGGGGGGCAGAGGTTGTAGTGAGTCGAGATTGGGCCACTGCACCTTGCCCTGGGTGACAGAGGGAGACTCTATCTCTAAAACAAAACAAAAAATGATCCTGCTACCTTCTAAGGTTGGCCAGGGCTGAACAACACCTCTGACTCTTTGTTCACTGCTTGCATTATAGGGGACTACAGGGCTTTACTCATTCATGTCCTGATTCAAAACAGCTTTAATGGCCTCTGGTCCCAGCCTTCCGAATGATGTTCTTACTATTCATTTTATTATAGTGAACCCCAAGTTTCTCTTCAAAGAATCAGTATGTCAGTATGTTCAGCCCTCTTATTCTTTAATTCTCTATTTTAAAGTTTAACTTCTTATGCCGGGCGCGGTGGCTCAAGCCTGTAATCCCAGCACTTTGGGAGGCCGAGGCGGGTGGATCACGAGGTCGAGAGATTGAGACCATCCTGGTCAACATGGTGAAACCCCGTCTCTACTAAAAATACAAAAAACTAGCTGGGCGTGGTGGCGCATGCCTGTAATCCCAGCTACTCAGGAGGCTGAGGCAGGAGAATTGCCTGAACCCAGGAGGCGGAGGTTGCGGTGAGCCGAGATCGCGCCATTGCACTCCAGCCTGGGTAACAAGAGCGAAACTCCGTCTCAAAAAAAAAAAAAAAAAAAAAAACCCCAAAAAAACAAACAAAAAAACCAGTAGGTATTAGTCTAGCTTGTGCGGTCTAACCCTAGCCAACAGGGGAACAACACAGCAGTAGGGTCGACTCCTGTCAGGCAAAAGTACCATTTTCCCCACTTATCCAAGTGTGTGGCCACTATTGCTCCATCCATGAGCCACACCCTTCTACAGAAGTAAACTGCCCTGCTGAGAGGATTTATCTCTGAGTGCTTTTTCTTATGCAGCATCATAATTTTACTTTTAGTTTGCTTCTTTCTTCCCTTTGTCATATTACTATTTATTTATTTATTTATTTATTTATTTATTTTATCAAGACGGGGTTTCACCATGTTGGTCAGGCTGGTCTTGAACTCCCAGCCTCAGGTGATTCACCCACCTTGGTCTCCAAAGTGTTTGGATTACAGTGTGAGCCACCACGCCTGGCCTGTCATATTATCATTTATGACATTTATCTGCCCTATGTCCACAAATAGATAGGTCGTTCCCTGTTGTCTCCGTGTTTAATTTAGATAGGCTTCAGTTTTTGTTGTTTTGTTTTTTGAGATGGAGTTTCACTCTTGTCACTCAGGCTGGAGTGCAATGGCAAGATCTCGGCTCACTGCAACCTCCGTGTCCCCTGGTTCATGCCTTTCTCCTGCCTCAGCCTTCCAAGTGGCTGGGATTACAAGTGCTCACCACCCCACCTGGCTAATTTTTGTATTTTTATTAGAGACAGGGTTTCACCATGTTGGCCAGGCTGGTCTTGAACTCCTGACCTTGTAATTCACCTGCCTCGGCCTCCCAAAGTGCTGGGATTACACTTATGAGCCACCACACCCAGCCAGGTTTCAGTTTTGTTGCGAACAAAGCTATAGTTAAGATCTGGTGGAGCCCACTACCACTGCCTGGGAAGCCAAGGAAGAAGGTGCTACAGACATGGTTGTGTTAACCTACATAGTAATTTCCCCTCTGCTCTTTGTCTTTCTTTCCTTCCCCTAATGCCTCCAGCCTTTCTTCTGCCTGGCATTGTCATGTCTTTCCTTTCTAACTGAATAATTTTTCTCTCTTCCAGCCTTCCTTTCTCTAATGATAATACAGTTTTTGATCGACTTACGACCTATGCAACTTACAACCATTCAACTTTATGACCACAATCGCTAGCTGCAACTGCTCTGCGTCTGGCAGTGCAAACGTTGCCCAGCTGGGTGTACGACAGTGCGGACCAGCTTCCGGCAGCACTACCATCTCCGCATGCACCATTTCTACTGTTATCCCAGACTCGGTACAGCAATTTGTGTTTTGTGTCTTGGATATTTTTCTTCAAACCCCTCCCAAGATGTCTACCAAGAGGAAATTGTCTTTGTCTACGCCTCAGCCTGCCAAGAAGGAAAGAAAGACCATCGATCTCTACGCAAAAATGAAGGTAATTAAGCAGTACGAAAGAGGAAAGAAAGTGAATGTGATCGCACGTGACATGAAGTTATCACACTTGACTGTGTTGATGATTTTGAAAGATAAAGAAAGAATTTGTGAAGCTGTGAAAGGTTCTGCACCCATGCGATAAACAGTTATAACAAAGCAACGAAGCAGGCCCATCCAGGAAATGGAAAAATTGCTATATATTTGGATGGAAGATCAAATTCAAAAATGGACACCATTAAGTCTTTTTACTGTGCAGATGAAGGCGAGAAGTCTATTTCAG